CTGGAGTTACAGACAGTTGTTAGCTGCCATGTGGGTGCTGGGATTTGAACCCCGGTCTTCTGCAAGAACAGCCAGTGTTCTTAACCATTGAGTCATCTCTCCAGCCCCTCCGAGAAGGTTTCGAGCTATCTTTTTTGTCTGTTAGGTGCTTAACAGTGTGAAAGAAAACAACAGTAGCAATAATAACAACAAACCAAACAAACTAGAATTAATACTTTAGGATTAATTACTAAGGCAAGTGAAGTCAAAGTGTTAAGACGTGGAAGGGAATGTCTTCAATTGAAAACAAAGAATAAAAAATTATTTATTTAGAGAGGAGGGAATACATTTCCGGAGTCTGTTCTCTCTCCTACTATGTGGGTCTCTGGGATCAAACTTTGGTGATCAGATTTGCTGGCTAGTGCCATTACCCTCTAAGCCATCTCCCCAGCCCTGCATTCTTCAAATTTTCAAAGACTTATTTCCTGTAAATTATTTTTTAAATATTTTATTATTTTTATTTTATGTATTATGTATTGAGTGTATTACCTGCTTATGTGTAAGTGCACTAGTGTTGTGCATGCCAGTGGAGGTCACAAGAGGGCATTAGCTCCCCTGGAACTGGTTTACAGATGGTTGTTAGCTGCCATGTGGTTGCTAGGAACTAAACCTAGGTCCTTTGCAAGAGCAGCCAGTGCTCTTAACTCCTGAGCCATCTCTCCAATCCCAATTCCCTATAAATTATAAGGAACTTTACAACTCAAAGTTCTGTTGTAACATTGTAAATTTACTACTTGAAAAAAAATTTGGGTATGATGATCCCTCATTTGAGAATGAGTCACAAATATAATATAGAACATTACTGTGGTGTTTCAAAGTATCCAAAATGCTGTGCTTTTTTAAAATCAAGAAAAAAAATCTGTTTCCTACTCATGTGATAAAGGCAACATTGTATGTGAGGAGAATCAGATACTGGTCCTGCCACTGACATTTGAAACTGGCAGTAGCTACTCTAAAATTAAGGTTGCTAGTGCAGATGCACGCACGCATGTGCATATATAAACACAATTTAAAAAAGATGCATGTTCAGAGTGAAGTGTTTGAAGTAGCTTTTATTTGTTTTGTGGGGGAAGGGCTATCTCACCATGTTGTCCAGGGTCAGGACTCAATTAGTCCTCCTACCTCAGCCTCCCAGGTAGCTGGAGCTGAAGGTGGATCCCAGGTGAAGTGAATTTAAAAAGCTTGTTAATGTAGAAGCTGTGGCTTGGTCACTTCTGCTGCAGAAAAATTCTAGTTTGTATATACATTGCTCAAAAACATTCCAGCCATTTAGGTAATGCTGGAAGTAGCATTTCTTTTTATTTTATTGGCATACGTGTGTATCTGTTCATGCACCTATGTGTGAGCAGTCATGCCCACCTAGCTTTTATGTAGTTTCTAAGAATCCAAAGTCTGGTCTTGCAAGTATGTATAGTTGCTGAACCATCTTCCCCAAGTCACCGTTTCTTAAAGCTTTAAGAGACCGGGGCTTGGGGGGGGTGCAGGTGTAGTTAATCTCAGCATTCTGGAGGCAGAGACAGATCTCTGAGTTTAAGTCCAGCATGAGCTACATAGTGAGTTCCAGGCCAGCCAAAACTACACATTGGGACCCAACCTCAAAAAAGAAAAAAAATGATTTGGGGGTTCCTGAGAATCTGATCCTTTAGGTGTCAGTTTTTGGTTTTGAAGAAGATGCTGGATTCTGTTCTCAGCTAGCTCCTAGCTGTGAATGCCTTGAGTGGTTTTAGAAAGCCACATTTGCTTAGGGGTTGAGGGAGAATCAGATGGTTGAACCCAGCATGATGGCAGAGGTTTCTCACCCTATGCCTTCGTCTTGTGAAAGAGTCAGCACATCCTGCCCATGACTGAATATTTTGTGCTGTGATGGAGGCAGAGCAAAGGAAGGCCCTCCAGGCTTTAGTGGGGTTCCTTTGCCACATTTATCAAATTGAATGTTATATCTTCCTAGTTTGGAAGAAAAAGATAGACAAGGGAAAAATTGAACATTCTTTCTTTGAAAAAAAAAAAAAAAAGGCCCAGGGCCTGGAAAGATGGCTGATAGCTCAGTAGGTAAATGTGCTTGCTAAGAGTTTGATCTCAGACTCATATGGTGGAAGAAGAGAAGTTGTCCTCTGACCTCTATATGTGTGATGTGGCATACTCTGGCCCACACACATACACATACAATGCGCGCGCACACACACACACACACACACACACACACACAATAAATAAATAAAAATGACAAAAACATTTTTAAAAGACCCAAACAACTGAAAAATTTCTTTAAAACAATTTTAAGACCTATTAGCAAGTATTTGCATAGTCTTCAAGTGCCCAACCTGTGCTCAAGTGCAGGGGTGCAGACATCAAAGAGATGTTGATGCTGCCCTAGGTGAGATTACAGTTCAGTGTGGAGAGGAGCCTATATTCCTTGGAACAATCTGAGAATAATTGGGTGGGTATGTTGAGTGCAAACTGTCTGCTACCAGGTGTGCAGTGAACCTGTGTGAATTCAGGTAGGTTTTTCTGCAGAGAGGATCTAAGGTTAACCCACTGCTTTCTGGGGTGGGGGGGTAGAGGCAAGTTAGAGCAGAGGAGTGATTTCTCCCAGGATTTAAAGCTTCTGCCATTTCATGGGCACTTCGGACAGAGGTCTGTGTTAGGCAGCCCTGTACCTTACAATGCACACACACACACACAATAAATAAATACACACAATGTATTTAAATATACATTGTATGTGTATTTGTTTATTGTGAGGAATGGGCATTCGAAATAAGATTTGGTGATTGGAGAATGGGGTTTCTTGGCACAGTTGTATTTGCTGTTAGCAACTGACTAGATGTAAACTTGTCATCTTCAGTCAGTGTGACATGACAGTTTCCTCTGGTCCCTGCCAGAGTCCTCATGCCAGTGGCAGCTGCAGTGTCAACTGGCTGGCAGCCCTGTGGTACTGTTGGTGAGTGGGACGATGATGCTGAGGGCTCAGGCAGATGGAGGTCTCAGGGTGACCCACATGAAGCAAAATGAGGGGCCAGGAGTTGGGAGCAAAGGAGAAGGTTTTAAAAGCAGGGTATCAGTGTTCTCTGACTAGGATGTGAGTTGTTTTTGTTGTTATTGTTGTTTTTGTAAATTTAAAGAACTACATGTGTTCATTTATGTGTGTTGGGGGTTGGGGGAGAACAGTGCCTGTATGGAGGTCAGAGGACAACTGAGGGAGTTGGTTCTCTCCACTTTGTGAATTTCAGGAATTGGTTGTCAGGGTTGATGGCAAGCACCTTTACCCACTGATCCCTCATGCTGGCCCTAGAGTGTTTTGGGTTGTTTTCCTGGCTAAGTTTGGGGATTCATTTATTCTCACATTTCACAAATTTGGCGTTAATTTTTTCTTTATACATAAAACAAAATTGGTACTTTATGTATTTTAAAATGTGGACTGAAACTTAAATCCTCAGATTTTCGTTTTCTAGTGAATTCCAGGGAAACAGAAATGAGGCACTAAGAGG